CTAAAATTGTTTATACTTGTGATGAAGGGGGAAGTAATTTCTTTATATATTTCTTTTCTTTACCATATTATTTTTCTTTCGTTTCTTTCTTTTCTATTTTTCTATTTTTTTCTTTTCTGCATCTTCTATTTTTTCTTTTTATTCTTTTATTTTTTTAGTTTGTATTAGTTTTATTGTTGCAGTTGTAATTTTTAATAACATTACTATAAAATGAATAAGCTGATAAAATTATGTATATCTTCAAATCAACAGTATACATTCAAGTTACTAACATACCAGCAATCAAATATGGCTAGACATACTTCAAGCTAATATAATATTGATTAAAATAGTAGCTAGAAACACAATTGAATTGATCCTTCAAAGACTGAGCTGCAGACTAATTCCAGTAGCATAATGATTACATACTGGAATAGAACTGAGAACTGAATAGTATCAAGTCTACTTTCAGTCATGAGAGCTCACTTGGTGACTTTGGGCCAATTATTATCTCTCATCCTAAACTGCCTCATAGAGTTATTACTGTCAGACGAAAATCTGACGAATGCTATATATGCTGCCTTGAGCTTAAGAAAGTAAGTCAGAATATAAATCTAACAAATAACAGTGGTAGCAATCTCCAAACTAGAGAATTAAGGCATTAAAAATAGAGCCCCAAAGAAAATCTTTGAACAAGCTATATTTTACAATTCAACTGTAATTCAGAAGTATTAAAGCAAAATTAAGAGCATAAGCCATGAAGAAAGGCATCTGTAGAATCTGGAGGTTTCACCATTTGACATTCCTCCCCTTCCTTCTGTCCCATCTCAGATCCTATGGCTGTGGAGTCCCCATTAAAAATTAAATTCAGATATGAACATATAATATGACCTTTGTAAGTTCACTTTCTCTAAACTTCAGTTTTAAATATGTAGTACAGAAATAATACTGTTGTATGCCATGGGATGGTTATTCAATTTCTTAAAAAATATACCTTAAATACCTAAGCTATCTCCACCCCCTACCTCCTCCAATAACTATTGAATTATCAAATGGAGAGAAAACACCCACATGAGTATCTGATAAATGCTGAAGTACACAACAGAGAATGTAATTAAGCCTAATCCATTACTTTTTAAAAAATCAGCATTTATTTATTGAGGAAGATACACAGACAACAGCATCACAATTTGTGTTGCTTGATGTTATATTACAAAGAAACTTTTCCAATCCCAATTTACAGTCACAATAAAATAATTGGATCATTTTTCTTACCTTTGACTTTTGCAATGACTGTTCCTGCAGCACTTAGAACGTCAACTGAGTTGAGACTCTGATGTTTGTTAATTATTGCCTTTAATACACGAAGTAGCTCACCCAAACGTTCATGAACAACTTGATGGAGACAATCTTGATTTTCTAGAAAGAAAATTTTATGGTAGTTAATAGCTAAGCAGTATCCACATAAAGTGCTGCAAATATGATTTCCCCTGTTATCTGGGCTTAGTCACATGGAAGGCTTACAAGATCTATTTTGAGAGTATAAACTAGTTCATAGTCTCAAGGAAGGTATTGTAGGAAAGTATTATGACAGGAGTTACAGCATTTAAAAACTGAGGGTAAATAACTTATTAAAGAGATTCCTAAACTTCCAGGAACAACTATCAATAAATAATTAGACCTTGGCCATACCTCTTCAATGGATGTTCACAGGGCCACCCCTTGGCCCCATATGGCAATGGAAAATGCCCACCTGCAGAAGCAGGCATTCTGGAGAAGCCAAGGAAACATAAAATTCTCCAGACAATATTCCTTTCAACTATATTAAACCTGAGGTGATGTAGTTAACACTTCAAAAAGTGCAGGAAAAAACGGTCTGTCCACTGTGTGCCTTAGTTACTGTGTGGACTGCAAGTTTTGGCAATATCAGATGCTCCACTGTGGATTTTCTATCTTCTCCAAATTAAAAGCATTGTTAGTTATAATCATTCAGCAAAAAGATAATCTACTGGAATAAATTTTATTCTCATTAAATCCAAGAGAATTAAAGACTTCTATTTCTTCACATAAATTAATTTATTTCTTGAATGGGCAACCTTCTTTGATCCAAGAGCTGCACTCAAAAGGTGAGTTTGACCAGAAAGAAATTGGCAAGCTGTGGCTTAATGACGCTGAAAGTTTCCGGCCAGAAATGGTCGACGCTTCAGCGGTTCGAGTCCAGCCTTCCCGTTAGCAGGGTGAGCTCCTGTTTCCTCCCCAGTTCCGGTAAACCCAACAGTTCGAAAACTCACGTGTGTAGATAAATGGGTACTCTCACTCCGGTGGGAGGAAAAATGCTGGCGGCGCCTTGCAAAAAAGGAGTCGGGAACAGTTGCCGGTAAGCGCGAAAAACCCCGCGCGCCCAAAAAGGGCGCGAAGCAACGGAAACCCCACCTCCAGCGCTCACCAGCTGGGCTCTGCTCTAGGAAGGAGGCTCTGGCAAACCACTTCCGAAACAATTGCCTTGAAA